TCGCCGCTTTCATCAGTACCTCCGGTTGTTGACCCACGGGTGGTCGTTGTTCGTCCTTTGGTGGTGCCGGTGGTGGTTCCTCCCCTGGTCGTGGATCTAGTCCTTGTCGTCGATGCAGCACTCGTATAAGCATCCGCACGAGCATATGAACCTCTGCCCATTATGAGTTCTACGTAGATGCAGTATGAAAATGCACCACCGACAGAAAGTAGTATCAAGCGTTTGGTCGATAGTTCATATCGCGAGTCACCGTAACAGCGGGCGTCGTCTGAAAAGCGATACAGAGAGTGGAGCAACATTAGGTGGAACAATTTAAACACATAAAAGAGGCTCCAAAATTTATTGCGAAAGACTCAAAAGATTCAAAAGAATCCAAAAGTTTTCACAAAAAATTTTTATTGTTAATTCCTTCTTCTTCGAATATTTCGGTGCCTAGCACCTTCTTCAGCGATCTGAAATACTACAGTTAGCCACCTCCACCGGAATCCTGAACCTTCAGTGGTGCCTCCTTCTGGACTCTGACCTGGTCTGCTGCCTCCAGTATCCGCCAGTATGCCGCCGCTGCTCCTTGCGAATGCCGCGCCTTCTAGTGGTGACTGTGACCCTACCCGTTACCCTCCTTAAATAGTGAGGATGCCTAGTGAGCGCTTCTGCATATGATATCACTGACCGCTCCACCATTCACGTAGTCAGTGAATCAACTGCAGCGCGTCACGTAGCTCATCCCTACTATTCTGGGGAGAGCCTTCTTATTTCCAGTGCTTCCAATAACTTTCTTTCCACCGGATTTTCTATGGAGCGGTGTAATACTGTAATGGTAAGTGCGGGAGGACCTTCGTGTGCATGCATATTGGTGCGGTGTAAGGAGGGTAACGGGTAGGGTTACAGTTACCACTAGAAGGCGCGGCATTCGCAAGGAGCAGCGGCGGCATATTGGCGGATACTGGAGGCAGCAGACCAGGTCAGAGTCCAGAAGGAGGCACCACTGAAGGTTCAGGATTCCGGTGGAGGCGGCTAACTGTAGTATTTCAGATCGCTGAAGAAGGTGCTAGGCACCGAAATATTCGAAGAAGGAGTATTTAACAATAAAAATTTTTTGTGAAAACTTTTGGATTCTTTTGAATCTTTTGAGTCTTTCGCAATAAATTTTGGCGCCTCTTTTATGTGTTTAACATTCAGATTGCAATGAGGCTCCGGGACAGCACAATCTTAAGATTAGGTGGAAGATTTGAAATCGACAAGGAACGCCAGGGTTACCATCAGGCTTCAGCGTCTGTAGCAGCAATAATGGCGCTACTGTAATACGCAATGTGGTATAGAAGGCCTATTGAGTTATCGACGATTGATGAGGGAAGGTGGTAACAACCAATTAAGGCTAATGGTAGTGACTTTGCCCGGCAAAATCCATTACACTACCAACGACCACAGTAGGATTGATGAAGCCCACTATCAGGCTCTCATTAGCTTGAGCACAACCCTCATCAGTACTGACATGTTTGACCGCTAAACTAACTGGATCCTAGATTAATCTCAGATCAGTGATGTGACGAACAACAGTCAGTGACTCCACAACCAGCACAGTGACAATATCCTTTAGTGAATACCATTCCAAGCGTTCAGCAGCCGCACGTGGGATGTGTCCTGGACTGGTACGGTTCAGCGGGTAGTGACACATAACGCACCTACAAGCAGTAGGTGCTCCAACTTCTAATTTAAGGCCTCAGTAACCATTTTGACGGCTACAGAACTTTGACGCATCAGGCTCAACCATGTGGCGCACTTGACAGTGTGCGTTATCCAAACTGTTCTGATGTTCAGCTCATTAGTGGTACTGTATTTTGTTGCGATTTCAACGCAAGAATTGCTGAGATGGTATCTAGAACAAAGAAAGATGTGTTTACACTGACGGGTAGATATTCAATGCACGTCCCGACACCTTCAAATCCCCGGAATAATCGAACCCGTGCCGGCTTCTCAAACATTCGTGCCAGCTGTTTCATTTCCTGAAGACTCGGAAGGCTCGGCTTCCTCCCACAGTTCTGAGAAAAAACATTCGAAGATGCGGAAATAATGTTAAAAATTCTCTCAGAGTCCGGAAAATCTTAATCCTACAGCAGCTCTACGGATAGTGTTCGCCGCCGAAAAAGTGCCCCACTTCTTCTGCACACAAGCTGTAATTCGTTTCCGGGGGTGACATGTGTAGCATACAAAATTCGAAGCGATTTGCTTAGCTGAGAGAAAAGTTTTCGCGGCAGAAACTTCAAGGCAAATGGTTTTGAGCGCTACTGTATGTGAATGGGTGAATGCCCATGTAGACTTATGAATCAAGGATGCTTTCAACTAAAATGACAAAGTTTAACTTTAGATGTTTATGGATCATTTTGCCGTCATCTAAAGCTTTCATAGACTCTTGCAAGTTGTCACACTATGCGTATGAGGGATTCAAAAGGGCTACTACGTTAGTGCATTTGTTTATGGTGAGTTCACTGGTTGTTATCAGGTAATTTTCGTTCATGTCTGTTGTACACTGTTGTTTTGCCAGTGGTACCTGTGCCGCTAACAGATGATCTAATAATTGAATTTTTGACGAAATGCAACGTACAAAGGAAGTTTGGCTACCAAATGTTATTGTATGGCAGTGCTGTACAAGTTCGCCAGGCATTCATCACGGTATATGAAAGGATACCCAAGGAGATATCTTCACACCTCAGACATTGTAAATCTCCACATTTTTAGACAGTGTAGTCGGCAGACTGATTGCCGATTATATACAGGGGGGGGGCAATAAAAAAAGTCACTTCGACCGAGTCACATATCAGCAAAGTTTTCGCAGCCCAGACAGAGGACGTGGATACGAGTACCAGGGCGGAAGATACCCAAGATGTTCAGGAGCTGGCTCTCGCCCATCACCTTCATGTACACCAAAATATGAAGTCATCTCCAGTCGCAGCCTGACTGGAGAAGACCTTTGGAATTCATGTCACCTCCAAACAGCTGCGAAACTTCTAGTATGGAGTCACCCATGGATAGCTACCTGGAGACCAGTACTCTCGATCTGGAAGACCTCCAACATCGAGCAGCTCCGACAACGTCGCTACGGTCTAGGACATCATCTTCACCGCAGTCGCCAAGGCGCGGGTGTGGACCGGACGTACCTGGAATGGAAAGACCGATATTTTCTGGACCCCGGACTGAAGGTGAGCGCTGGCGGTTACATCGAGCAACTCGAGAAGAATATCCTCCCCACATGTCGTCGCCCGTACCTTCTTGGAAACTTTGTACTGCTACAGCATTGGGTGCCACCACATGGAATCGAAGGGCGTTGGAGAAACTCTCGCCTACTTGGAATGGAAGGGGTTGAGTACCTAAAGAAGATGGAATATCCAAGTAGGTCACCTGACCTGAATCCCCTCAATTACCCGGTTCGGGCGGAGTTCAATAGGGTGGTCTACGGTGGCGGAGAAATCGACTATCTCGCTGATCTCAGGCACCACATCGCGGTCGCGTGCAGAATCTCTCGATGGCGCTCGTCCAGAAGGCTGTGGCGGAGTGTCATGATAGTATTTAATATGCTCTTCAATATGGTGTGGTCCGATCAGAATTTAATAAAGTGTAACTTATAGCGCCTCGAAAGTCAATGAAGAAAAGTGACTTTTTTTATAGGCCACCCCTGTATGTCTTGTTACACTATACTGCCATTGTCGACTAAATGAGTTTCTTTCTAGGGCTTTTACGTCCTTCTGAAATTTTTCTGGAACCCAGATCGGTATGGATGCTGAAGTTTGGCTCACCTGTTTCGTGGGAAAATGTGCACTACTGGAGGCAATTTTATGTAAGTTATATCGATCATACAACTGGAAAAAGTTATAATTTCGTATTACAATGCAATACAGAAGCATTGTATGTTGAAAGTTGATTAACGTCAAGCAGTGAAATGGATGTGACTGCAGCCATGTTCGTTGATGATCGTACAACAGCTTGTACACTCTACGTTACTCGAGGAATTGAGCACGCGCTTGTAGTAGTGACGTTCAAAGGTCTTGTCCGCAATCAGATTCATATACGATTTCCCTGAGACTCTCCTACTTCTTCTCTTGCCCTGAACCGTGTACTACCCAAGAAATCTGTAGAGTGATACTTCAGATTTGAGAAGTGCTCGCCAGCTTTTACCTCCACTGCTGTGCAGCTACAGTGTCATTCGCTTCTCCACCCAGGGGAATGTAGTTTCATGGGCTACGAATGCCGGCGAAAATTTAAAAAGTTCAGTTATCGCCATGGCAAGTGAGCTTCTCTGAGGTCTACACTAGGAACAGGACCTCTTTTTGGGAAGTTTGCTGTTGAACACCTTGGGGTTCGGACATATTTTGGAAATTCCCAGTACTTAGAACAGCACGCAGTTTCGCTCGAATTTGGCTCGTTTCAAACTATCTCGTTTCAAAATGAGGAAGTAGGCTTGCGATGGCGAATACGGGCACCACAAAATGTAACGATTGGTGACTAATGACGAAGAGCCCAGAGTAATGTTCGGCAATCAAACTTAGATGAGATACTCACCACAGAGAATATCCTGACCAAGTTCTTGCTAACTAAAAAACATCGACTTCTGAGGTGAAGGGGCACCAATTATACGTGTCTATCTCCGTGTTATCAGATTTTTCTGTATCTCGCGTGCTTTTCTAGGATTTATTCTCTTCCTATCGGAATCTAGCCCTCCTCCTTCCAAGATCTGCTAATGAGTTCTCTCCCGGGATCCACTGTATTGTGACTGCTTCAAGCCTCAAACTTCTCCGATTGCCAGATGCTTTCTGCTATTGTAAATACTGGATTAGGCTTCCTAATTTGCATATTCTGTGTGTCCCCTGATTATCTATTATAAATAACATGTGGCCCGAAAGGGTGGAAGCAAATGCCAGCATTTAAAATGAGTGGATCTTTGAGAGTGCCGCGCGCCTTGATTGTCCCTTTAGTACTGCCCCCAGTGAGTGGTCTGATGCATCAACCTACACAAAAAATGTGGCGCATCCGGTGGGTGGAGTGATGCGGATAGCGCCGTTTTTAGTTGCTGGATCCAAAATGCTGTTTTTCTCTTTTTTTTCTGCTGCACAGTGACCACCTATAGCTAAATGCAGTGGCACGATCTCACGCGATTGAGCTCGTGCCAGTGCAGTTGTCACGGCCCTAGACTCGGTCTGATGTACTTTTACATATGCGATCGAGATCTCGGTCTCGATCTCATATGTAAGAGGTTTACAGTGAAACTTAACCATATGTGGCTGTGATCGGTAACAAACGGCACTTGTTCTCTGCTTCAGAACAAACGGACCTCTCGAGGTTGCCCCCAATAGCGGCTGATATTCTTGCATTCGTCCCTGGAAACGACTCAAAGCGGCCCATAATCTAAGCACACGGCTACGCTTCTGCCTTCTCTTTTCCACTTTTTGTTCGAGAGCTTGAGTATTTCGATTTAGTGCCTACTTTCCAAGTCAGGCGTTCTCATGAACCCATCCGCCTGCGGAACATATCGCATACTCTCCGAATCGTTGAATTTTACATGCTCTTTTGTGAAATGACTGAAGCAGGAACATGTAAGAGCAATCTATTCCACTCTTTGCCATGCTGGGGGATGTATTACGAGGTTACGGCCAGGAGAAACTTTCTTGGTCCCACTATTTTGCTTCGAATTCGTGATAGGTTCATCAACAAAAGCCGCATTTATCATCGCTGATACACGATTGCCAACCCTATTCAAGAAATGGAGAACCTCATCAGTTGGAGTGTATCCGTTCACAAGACTATCGAGAATCAAAGCCTTCCGCTTGAGAGCTCCCCTTATGGAGCCTTATGTGATTGTGAATAGAGGCTGTATAATACTTAGACTTTCAATTTGTATTCGTCGCGCCAATGCACCTCATCTCCTAACAGGAAACAAAGACACCTGAACCTCTCGGGCGTATCCCCTCGGAATTTCTGATAGGGCATGCGAGGCACCGTGCTGTCTCTGTATCTGCTGCGCCCCATGTTGAAGCATATTTATTTGTGGGCGTATTGGTGAAAGACCGGGAAAATTTTTCTGCTATTTTCAAGGTTTCGTTCCTGACCTTGATTGCATCTGCATGACTGGGATGATTCATAAAAGGTAGGGATAGCCGAGTGGTTAAGAGTGTAGACTCATGTTCTCACTCTGAGCCACGAGTTCGATCCCTGCCGAGGCACAAACCTGCCTTGCAAAAATTGCAAAAATGGGGACGATACCAGCGTCAGGCCCAGGTTGACAGGCCGGCTGATGGAGGAACCCGTCACAACAATCATGACAAGTCGCAAAAGTATCAGTGTAAAGCTAGGACGTCACCCGGAAGTGGCGCGCAGAACCCTCGCCCGAGTTCTGTGGTCAGTATGCGAGGGCTACCGAGGGGTGAACGACCTCGGCCAAAGAAGCTAGTTCGAATTGGGACCCTGAACGTGGGGTCGCTTACCGGGAAGTCTCGTGAGGTTGCCGACCTCATGAGACGCAGGAATATCCAAGTCCTGCAGGAAACGCGATGGAAGGGTGCGAAGGCCCGCGAGATTGGAGAAGGTGTCAAACTCTTCTACAATGGAGCAGACACCAAACGGAATGGCGTGGCCATAGCGGTGGCAGAATCCCTCAAGGACTGCGTCTCCTCTGTGAACAGGATCAGTGATCCGGATCATGGGAGTGAGAATGGACACGAAGGAGGGGTACTGGACAGTACTGACCGTGTACGCACCACAATCCGGTTGCTCCGAGGCGGAAAAGGATGAGTTCTACCTGACCCTGGACGAGGCCATAAGATCGGTTCCGGAAGATGACTACCTCACCATAGCTGGGGATCTGAATGGCCATGTGGGAAGTGACAGAAGGGGTCTAGAAAGGGTGCACGGAGGTCAAGGAATAGGAGCAAAGAACGCTGAGGGAGATCCTTGACCTAGCCACAGCCCACGACTTAGCAATCTGCAGCACCTTCTCGCGAAAAGGAGGACTCAGAAGATAACCTACAGCAGTGGAGGGAGACAAACGGAAATCGACCATGTCCTGGTCAGAAGATCGTCTCTCAAAACCGTCAAGGATATCAAGGTACTGCCTGGGGAAGAGCTGGGCCCTCAGCACAGGCCTCTCCTGGCAGACATCGCCATAGACCTCCCCAAGAAGACGAGGGTGAGAGCAGAGCGGAGAATTCGGTGGTGGAAAATGCGCAAGGTAGAAAAGGATAGCCTCGGCCGAAGAATACTGGAGGCTGGGCTCCCAGACCCACATGGGCCAGTCCAGGACACCTGGACCTACGCAGCAGAGGTCATCCTACAGTGTGCAAGGAAGTCCTGGGAGAGACGCGAGGTGGTATCAGAGGAGACAAGGCAGCCTGGTTCTGGAACGAGGAAGTCCAGGGGATCGTCAAGCAGAAGAAGGAAGCATATAAACGCTGGCAAAAGACAAGGAGCCCAGAAGACTTCGCTGCCTACAAGAGCTGCAAGCGACTCGCTAAGGCAGCCGTTGCTAAGGCCAAGAATACGGAAATGGACGCCCTGTACGAGAAGCTGGAAGGCCGAGAAGGGGACAAGTTCGTCTTCCGCCTGGCTAAAGCTCGGCATCGCGCTGCTCAGGACATCAGGGTCGTAAAGACTGTGAAGAGCAGCAACGGGGCCATTCTCAGGAAACCAGCCGAAGTCAGGAAGAGGTGGGAAGAATACTTCGAGGGACTTCTGAACGAAGAATTCCCCGCAAGGATAGCCCACAGATAGAGGCGACGGCAGGTCCCATCACTCCCTGGACGAAGGATGAAGTCCGCCGAGAGCTAGGGAGAATGAAAGTTGGGAAAGCAGTGGGTCCAGACGGGGTACCGATAGAGGCATGGAAGGCCCTTGGAGAGCATGGGGTGAGTTGGCTCACACACTTCCTAAACAACGTAACGGCTGAAGGAAGGATGCCAGATGCGTGGAGGAGCAGCACAATCGTCCCCATCTTCAAAAAGGGGACGCGACGGAGTGCTCCAACTACCGCGGCATCAAGTTGACTCCCCATACCATGAAGCTGTACGAGCGCCTGGTCAACACTAGGCTGAGGGAACTTGTCCCTATCTCGCAGGAACAGTTCGGCTTCATGCCCGAAAGGTCCACCACTGACGCCATCTTCATCGCCAGACAGCTGATGGAGAAGTACCGAGAGAAGCGGCGACCCCCTGCCTAGCCTTCCTGGACTTGGGGAAGGCATTCGACCGCCTGCCTCGGCCTGTACTCTGGAGAGCGCTTAGAGAACGTAACGTTCCGGAGCACCTGGTCTCCATAGTGAAGGACATGTACGATGGGGCTAAAGCAGCTGTACGCACCACGGCTTGACAAAGGAGGTAAACATTACGGTTGGGGTACACCAAGGATCAGCCCTCAGGTTCCTCTTCCTCCTGACTCTGGATGTCATGGCAAAAGAGGGACCACTGAAAACCATCCTCTACGCTGACGACATCGCCCTGATAGCGGACAGGAAGAACTCCAGGACAAGGTGCAGCGGTGGCAGATGTGCTCGCTGAGAATGGACTCCGGCTGAACGTGAAGAAGACCAAGTTCCTGAGCTCTGAAGAGTGTACCGAACCCATCGTAGACCGTCACGGCGAGAGCATCGAAAGGGTCGAGGACTTCCAGTACCTGGGGAGCGACCTAGCAGCTGATGGCAGCGTGGACCAGGCGGTGAAGCCCGAATCAACGCAGCCTGGATGAAATGGAGGGAGTCCACTGGCATCCTGTGCGACCGGCGGTGCTCGAGAACGCTCAAGTGCAAGGCAGCTCCACTCAGCTGAAATGAGGATGCTGAGATGGGCCTGCGGCTGGACACGACTCGACAGAGTCAGAAACGAGGACGTCAGGGCGGTCACACAGACGGCTCCGATCCAGCTGAAGGCACGAGAGCAGCGACTGCGATGGTATGGGCACGTACTGAGAGGCCTGAAGACCACCCAATAAGGAAGGCATTGGAATTCGAAGTAGAGGGCAAGCGACCACGAGGAGCCCCAAAGAAAAGATGGAGGGACGTCATCAAGAGGACCTCACTGAAGTGAAAGCCACGGCAGAAGATGCAGTGGATCGGAACAAGTGGCGACGTCTAACAAGAACAGCGGACCCTGCGACGGCGCGGGACTAACGCTAGGGAGAAGAAGAAGACTGGGATGATTCATCGCCTTCTTTTGAGGCAATTCAACTGGCCCTCAATTGAAAGTGTCTGCGGGAATACCCACTTTACACGCAGAAGGAGGATCTCGCAGATACTTCCGATTGAGAGCCAGTCGGATCGCGCGCTCAGCCCAGTGTAAAAGGAGCCTAGCTCAACTTACGTGTGCTCCCTGCAGTTTCACCTATGCCCCACCCATGTCAAACTTGACCATTCAACGACCCTTCATAGGAGATGTAAAAGCCTTACAAAGGTTTTCTATAATCGGAAAACTCTTCTATCTATAATCGGGAAACTCCTCTTGCGTGAGACAATAGCTAAGCTTTATCTTTGCTGAGTTGATTGCGTTGAGTTAGATGCAATAACGCAGTTCATCACGCCGACAGCTCTGCGAATGAATGTAGGATTAGACATGAAAATTATGTGATCAGAGTCATCGCAAAGCGTGTAAGAATCAGGTTGGAAAGAAACTCCTGCAACACTTTGGCCAGAACTACGGACCAAATTTTCCTTCACTAAACGACCCCTCTAATCTACAAGATAATAAACATTAATAACCAGGACATGTGCACGTCTTTCGCACGCTTTTTGACTCCATTCTTGTAGAATACGGCAACTGCGCTGAAACAAGACATGGACCTCATTTTGGAGCAGATGTCGATTTCCAAAACTCTTATTTTTTAAAGGATGCAGTAGGGACCAAAGTAGGTGGTAGTTAGGGGCTGCTAAGTTCGGTGAATAAGCTGGATACGGTCGCAACCTCAATCAATATCATCATCTTTTGGCCGCTCCATGCGGTCTTTTCATTGTTGAGGAGCACAAGGGAATTGATTGTTTCTAAAAGTTACCGGTCGTGAGGTCATCCTCGTTTTGAAGTTGATTAGAGTAAACTGCAGGCACTGCCAATATTCAGCCACATAGCTTCGAAGTCCCACAAGTGACTGTGAGATATTTCTGTTGCATCTATTTTTAGCTAAGCGGGCGACTTTTCTCCTCGAGAGATTCCGTGAAGGATATGTACACTGTTTACGCAAGATCGAGTCTCGCTAGTGACCCAAATGTCTCATAAAAAGTGCTCCCAATGCGTACAAAGAAAACTCAGTCATGACCAATCGGTGCACTTTGCCAGACCAGTGCAGCTCACGCAAAATACTTCGCAGAAATTTTTCGGATAACCGAGATTGCAGAGAAGCATGGTTGCTGCCGATAGAGTGGCCTTATAGGAACTCCTAATGTAGGAAAGACCGAAAAACACCTCAATCTCTGTAGCACCTTCAAGGTATGAAAGCTTCCCATAACAAACCCGCCTGCGAAATGAAGCTGAGAGAACAATCTCCATCAATCGGGAACACTTAAAATATGAAAGTTCTTTCCCTAGAACATTCTGTTCAAAGTGTTGCAGGACTTTTTCCAACCTAGTATTTCGAATGGTAACTATTCTGAGGGCTTTCCATCACTACACAAATGGCTTATGTTCTAATGGTGGTTGTTTCATTTCGCAGAGCTCGAGTATGGGTCAATGCGCATTAGTTATATCTACTTCACAAGCTTCTTCTTTGCTGCTTTAGCGGTTGACGGCTTGCTTGTCATTTAGTGCTGCTACGTAAACTGATACGAAAGCTCAATTTCCGATGGGAAAGTGGCCTGCAAGCATTTTAACTTTCTGGTCCGAAAGAAAGCAGCTTGCTCATGCTACATGCGCAGCGATATCACTATATTACATGTCAGATATGACAGCAACACCTCTTATTTCCTCATACACCCATAATTCCTTTCATTGTCGGGCGTTCTTTTTTGTCGCGCACCGTCCACACATGCTCACCCTAGTTCTGGAACCGGATGTGAATAGTGGTTGT